TTCTCTTTGTCTTTCCTCTCCAGGACGGAGCTTTACCGGTCTCTCTTTGGCCAGCGGACCCACCTTGAAGGAGGAGGAGACAAGTCGTGATGACGACGGAGCTGCAAGAGGTGGAGCGTTTGCTGCTTTTCGTAAGCCCCCTTTGCGGCTTCTCTCCGCATAAACACCCAGCCAGTGGAGCCGCCAAAATACTTGGTGCTTGGGAATATCGCCATTGGCCCACTTCATTTGATCCATCTCAATGCCTTTGATAATCCGTTGCCCTCCGCACCGCTTTTCCCCTAATGTTCCCATAGCTAGTGCCCGTTGCTTCGATTTTAGAGTCTGCAAATAGCCATGGCTCGGCCGAGTCCAAATGAAAGGAAACCCGAAACGACCCAGACCTTGTTTTCCTTCTCTCGTTGCAAACCTTGAGTTCCTCCCCAAAACTCTGTGGAATGAAATCAGAACAATATGGATAAAGTTCTGTCATATTTTAGTGGATGTTGGGGTTACAATGGAGGTGGGTTTGGTTATCCTCAGCGGGGTTTTGAGCCTGTAACTATCCGACATGGGTTCCTGCTCCGTGTTAAGGAGCCGTCGCACCGGATACGCTTCCTTTAGAGTCCACACTTATATTTTGACTACAATCACCTCCCACGTTTGTTGCAGATCAGGGCACAGAAAGACACCTTTGTAGATTCAATCAGTTTATTTTACATTTAGACGAAGACTGCTACAGACAGCTATTTTGGGTCCTTCAGCCATTTTGGCTAATGAACATCCGGGCAGTGTGAGAAAGACTTTTTCTTACCCTATTAGGCATTTTTTGGTCTTCCGGTGTGGCTCTGGGTTCAAAAGTTGACCGTCAAGTCATAGTAGAGAGAGATTCCTACAGAAATCTGCCAAAAGTAAATCCCTCAACATGGAGTTCTGTCTGTAGACATCGGCCATCTTCTGAGTATCGGCTCTTAGGAGAGCTAAAATGGGCATCCTCCTCTCTCTTGCTGCATACATACATACATACATACATAAATACATACATACATGTTGCAACACATAAATACTAGGCTTGGTTGATTAAAAAATGGTTGAAAACCCATTTTGGATGTAGGGGGCGCTGGTGGTTCGATTCTAAAGCCACTTCTGAATTTTTTAAAACTTACTCAAAACTTCAGAAACTTCCAAATCGCATTGTTAATGGCAGACGCGCATGTGCAATAGGAAAAAAAAACAGCACTGGCACTGGGGAAATTTCAGGGGATTCTCCCTCCCTCATTTTCAGACCATTCTTGATTAAACTTGCTATAGTGGTAGATCACATGGTCTACTGTTAGCTCGCCAAATTTCATAACATTTGACTTATACATGGATTTTTGATGAATTTTCAAAGTTTTTATAAAAATACATTTTTTAATAATAAAGAAAATCTGTTCCTAGTTTGAAAGTGTTATTTCCTGTTTCATTGGGTGGTCTTTACTTTGAAAGTAGTTGTTCTACTCCAGAAACTTTGTTTGTATGGCACAAACTGTGTTAAATTGGTGGAGAACAAAAATCATAGTACAGACCCCATCAAGGGACATCTGGACTGACCCTCTTCTTCTGTGCAGGAAGGCACCATACAAGCTTTCCTGACATCCATTTGCTTCCTCTACTGAGTTGGAGGGGACCCTCAAGACACATCCATCGATTTATTCCTTTTTGCAGATGCAATCAATCATCTTATTTTATCATTACTTACTGTAAAGGGCTGGCTGGCTGTGGCTGGCTACCCCAGGGCCTTGTTTGTGGTTTTTAAGCAGTTTATGTTCTCTTGGTTTTGCAAAAGTTGCCTATTGCTTTGCTGCCTTCTTTAGACACCTTTGTAGATTCAATCAGGTTATTTTACATTTAGACGAAGATTGCTACAGACAGCTATTTTGGGTCCTTCAGCCGTTTTGGCTAATGAACATCTGGGCCTTGTGGGAAATGTAGTTTAACAGCAGGGCCTTTTGCAATCTCTACCATTGGGGGCCTGGCCTTCACAAACTGCAACAATGGCTTAGACAAAGACTGGTACAGACAGCAATTTTGCATCCTTCAGCCATTTTGGCTAATGAGCAGCCGGGCAGTGTGGGAAATGTAGTTTAACAGCAGGGCCTTTTGCAATCTCTACCATTGGGGGCCTGGCCTTCACAAACTACAACAATGGCTTAGACGAAGACTGCTATAGACAGCTATTTTAGGCCCTTCAGTCATTTTGGCTAATGAGCAGCCGGGCAGTGTGGGAAATGCAGTTTAATAGCAGGGCCTTTTGCAATCTCTACCAATGGGGGCCTGCCCTTCACAAACTACAATAATGGCTGTGCTTAGCCGCGCCCACCTCATCCCTCCCTTGCATTGCCGGGGGAGGGAAAGCATGAGATTTTAAAACTTTACCAAAGTTGCTTAATGGTTGTGAAAATTAAAATAACCTTGGGAGACATCCGAATATTATAGAATATTTGTGGGGAGGGGGGGCAAATTCAGACCCCCCCCCCCCCCCCCAACCTTTCCTGCATGGTTCAAAACTGCATTGGAAGCCAAAAATTTTCTGAGTTTCAGGCTTTTCTGAACGAACCTATCTAACCCTAATAAATACTTATGGGTTCCCTTCCTTCGATCGTGGTTGTTAATGTACTCCATTCTTTTTGCTGATGGGGAACCCTGGGAGCCAGCTCCTCCTGCGCAGAGGTGAGGCCTGATGTAAATCTAACCAAGGGAAAGATGATTCACTTGTTTCCGTCCAGAAGGTCAAAAAGCTGGGAATTAAATCCCCATAAAGTGGATTTATTTGCATGCTGTGATCAATCTCCATTGGAGATTATTTTGCATATGTAATGGTTGCATATGTGTAGAATGCAACAACACCCACATTGATTGCCTTACGTTCCCTTCTCCCAAAATAAACAGAATAAAATGAATTTTATACACTTCTGTATAGGTGATTTTCTGATGGTTTTTAAAAGAAACTTGCATTGCAAAGAGTTGTCAATGTGTTGAACATGCATTTGCACTCAGTGATGATGTGTTGATACTTTCCATTGTCATCTGGTTGGCTTCTGTGTGTAGAATGAGAAACTTTGGAGACTTCTTCATCCTCTGCCTTGGTCAGGTCTTGCAAAAGTCAGGGCAGCCATGGATTCCTTGACAGAGGCCATTCACTTGTAATGAGATCGGTATCCTTTTCCTGCTGCCTCCCATGTCTTAAATCAATCAGGGCCTGCTAACACCTCCCAACAAAGGATTCCCACCAGGCAGGAATGGTCTTGCAGCTTCAAATGCTAATCAAGCTGGCCAATTGCAACACTGACACTTGCCTCCAACAGACAAGAGTTTTTCTCCCACCCTGGACATCATTCCAGGCGGGAAACAATCAGGGCCAGTTAACACCTCCCAACAAGGGATTCCCCCAGGCAGGAAGCTGCCAGGCTTTGAAGCTGCAAGGCCATTCAGTGCTAATCAAGGTGGACAATTGCCTCCAACAGACAAGAGTTCTTTTTCCCACCCTGGACTTCCTTCCAGCCAGAAAACAATGAGGGCCAGTTAACACCTCCCAACAAGGGATTCCCCCAGGCAGGAAGCAGCCAAGCTATGAAGCTGCAAGGCCATTCAGTGCTAATCAAGGTGGACAATTGTCTCCAACAGACAAGAGTTCTTTCTCCCACTCTGTACAGGAAACAATCAGGGCCAGTTAACACCTCCCAACAAAGGATTCCCTCAGGCAAGAAGCAGCCAGGCTTTGAAGCTGCAAGGCCATTCAATGCTAATCATGGTGGGCAATTGCAACCTTCATACCTGCCTGAAAGTGACAAAGAGTTCTTTCTCCCACCCTGGACATCATTTCATGTCATGCGTTTGGCCCACCCACTGTTTTTTATTTTCCATTATGTTATTTTGCACTGTTTATTTTACCTGAATGTTTTATTTACTTTATTGTGATGTTATTTTTGTTGTTCTGCATTTTATTTTGCTGTAATGTATTGCCAGGCTTGGCCTCTTGTAAGCCGCTCCAAGTCCCTTTTGGGGAGATGGTGGAGGGGTATAAATAAAGATTATTATTATTATTATTATTATTATTATTATTATTATTACACCATATATATACTAGCCATCCCCTGCCACGCGTTGCTGTGGCCCAGTCTGGTGATCTGGAAAATAAAGTAATGAGAAAGTGTTGGTTTCTAATAGATGTAATTTCTTGATGCTTGTGGGTAAACAGTATTTCTTGCTGCTTCTTTGTCAGTGTTGATGTAGAGATTGTCTGGTTTACTTACTCTGAAACATGCAAAATTTGATTGTCCTTCTTCAGGGGTCCCTTTCAAACCTATGATACTATATCTGTGTGTGTGTGTGAATCATATCTATCTATATCTATGGCTGGATGGCTCTTTGTCAGGAGGGCTTTGATTACGTTTTCTTGCCCTGGTGAAGGGGGCTGGACTGGATGGCCTTAAGTATTTTCTGTTGGTCATGGGAGTTCTGTGTGGGAAGTTTGGCCCAATTCTGTCATTTGTGGGGTTCAGAATGCTCTTTGATTGTAGGTGAACTATAAATCCTAGTAACTACAACTCCCAAATGTCAAGGTCTATTTCCCCCAAACTCCATCTGTGTTCATATTTGGGCATATGGAATATTCGTGCCAAGTTTGGTCCAGATCTGTCATTGTTTGAGTCCACAGTGCTCTCCGGATGTAGATGAACTACAACTCCCAAACTCAAGATCAATGCCTACCAAACCCTTCTAGTGTTTTCTGTTGGTCACGGGAGTCCTGTGTGCCATGTTTGGTTCAATTCCATCATTGGTGGAGTTCGGAATACTCTTTTATTATAGGTGAACTATAAATCCCAGCAACTACAACTCCCAAATGACAAAATCAATTTTTTTTTGAGTGATGGTCACTCCTCGGGTTAGTAAGTGTCTTGTGGCCAAATTTGGCAGCAATTCATCCAGTGTTTTTTGAGTTATGTTAATCCCACAAATGAACATTATATATACACACATACATACACACACACGGACGGACGGACACACACACACTAGCCATCCCCTGCCACGCGTTGCTGTGGCCCAGTCTGTGTATATGTGCTTTGTGTGTGTATATATTTGTGTATATTGTGATTTTATATTGTTTTGTGTGCCTATTTTTTACTGTTTTTTATTATTTTCATTATATTTTATTCATTTATTATTTTATGCTGTATATTTGCTTTGTTGTGATTGTTGGGCTTGGCCTCATGTAAGCCGCCCTGAGTCCTCTTGGGGAGATGGCGATGAGGTATAAATATTTATTATATGTGTATATATATTTGTGTGTATATATTTGTGTATATGTGGCCTCATGTAAGCCGCACCGAGTCCCTTGGGGAGATGGTAGCGGGGATCAAATAAAGTTGTTTATTATTATTATTATTATTATTATTATTATTATTATTATTATTATTATTATTGTGCCTCATAGTTATTTTGCCAAAGTTTTTCTTGTAGTCTATATGTATTTTATATATATATATTTGGCTTTTTAAGTCTCTTCTGTTGTGTTTTTTCAGTGTTTTTATGAGTGATGGTCACTCGTTGGCCTGATAGGTGTATTGTGTCCAAATTTGGTGTCAATTCGTCCAGTGGTTTTTGAGTTATGTTAATCCCACAAACGAACATTACATTTTTATTTATATATATATACACACACAAATACAAAACACCACACACACACATATATATATAAACCCCACTTGCCCAGTTTCCAACCTCTGAGGATACCTGCCATAGATGTGGGCAAAATGTCAGGAGAGAATGCTTCTGGAACATGGCTCAAAAAACTCACCGCAATCCATCATATATTTTGTCAGAGGTGGATAAAT